TTTTTGTTTAGAGCCCGGTGAGCACAGTTGTGGACAACTCTATTCAGATCTCTAAGTAGTAGGTATTACATCTGTTCATAAATATAAGACGGTTTTTGCAGTTTAAACTGAACTGCAAAAACGACTTATATTTTAGGAACAGAGGTAGTACAATGCAGTGATCTAAGCAAGCACAAAGATCAGGAGTTTCCATTACATAAGTTGTTCAAATCTTCTGATGCGAGTAATGGTTTCAATCCTAACAACCGAACTGGGTCATGCTGTATTTTACCAAATGCAACTGAAATTATTACTTCAGGAAACGAGTGACACTCTCTTATCGCACAGAGATTACAGCAGCTGATGTGCCAACAAACACAAAGGTAAACAAGATACACCTCATATTTACAGCTCATCGTGAATGGTACATGCGGGGTGATTTCTTGCAGCGGTACATACAAGCTCTGGCAAGCTTGGCATCTGACCTTTTAAACGCCGATAGGGTGAGACAAGAGATATCGTCCTTCACAGCACCTCGTCTTCGTGGTACAGGTATAGCCCAAAACCGAACCTTGCGCAGGCCTTGCAGAACGCCGCCTCTTCTGCAGCCGCCACGGGGTCGTCGAGCCGTGCATCGCTCAGTGAAGCTGTTCCAGCAGCCTCCCGATGAACCTGCACAGACGAAAGCAGAGTTCCAGTGAAGATTATCAAACATCGACTTTCTTCGTTGTTGAATTTTTTAGAAATAAGTGCTGTTCCAATATTAGTTATTGTCCGTAGCTGTGATTTTCTTGACTCAAGAAGTTGCCACGGTGCTATGTCTGTTTGCAAGTTTTACCAATCACGGGGTGTTTGCATAAATAGATAATATACAACAACAATAATGCAGTGATTGCACAACCAGGCAATTCAAGATCACCTTGCAAAGACTGGCTGCTTATGTAACTGAGCCCGTATTTCTTTTGGGGGGGAAACTGGAACTGAAGGTTGTATGTTGAAATAATAAGTTTGAAACATCACAAGATAAACACACTGATTAATATTCCTAGTAAGATGTTAACAGAGTAGTATACTACAATGTCTACACAGAGACTTCAGATGTCGAGTGTAGGACCTGAATTGATTAATAGATAATGACGGGTGCAATTGTGGGTATGGATTGTTGGCTGTCTAGTGCTGATTTGTATTACACTGAGCGGTTATGAACCTGATTAACACGCTGAAAGTTGAACATACCATTTATCTCCTCCCTAAGTAATATAACTCAGCAAACTGGGTTCATAAACTCAAACAATATCTGTTTGGTGAACCAGGGGAGCATGTACTCTGTACTTTGGAAACAGACACAGCTGGGAAATGACAGATGTAGTCGGTTCCAAGTTATAACTAATGCCTACAACAAACAGAAAATAATTGATTTGCCACTTGGACGGGAAAGACAGATAGGCAGGGGCTCCTGCAACTTGACATTGGATGCCACAAGCATATGGGGTGAACTCACAAATGTATCTGAATTCAGTTTATTTGTCCCAACCCCAGCTACCCAAGTCAATCAGTTTACATGTCAACCTAAACAATCATCCTGCCAACCAAGTTAATTTCCAAAATTTGAGATTTTCTAGGAGATTTGTCCCAACCCCAGCAACCCTTGTCTTTAATAACCCTTCCAATGCATGTATAGCTTGTAAGGTTGAATCGTAAACTAAAAGAGATTTATAAAATTATTAGGAGCTTGATGATTCACGCATTAACAAACTAATTCATATGATGTTGGCCTTTGTGATATGTTGACCATCATCACGAACAAGAGATGGTAGTTAGGTACCTCTCCATCTATTCCTCGTATTGTGACGCGATACACCACGGTCACCTTTCCATTGTCATTGTAAATAACATCACGGACCTCCCCACACCAGCCTGGAAACGGGGCGCACCCCAGGAACAACACAAAGTGTAAGCAGTTAGTTAGCAATGCTACCAAATTTCAAGCAGAAACAGTATAGGTGAACACAGGTGCTGAGATGAGGTATATGTTGACGCATAATGTGCTGCCTAGTCTCTTCCATAAGATCGGTCTGATGGGTGAACTAGTTAGGTGCATAAACTTACAACCACAAGGTTCAGGGTTCAAAACCCAGTAAATGCAATAAATAATTGCGGCCTGCCCCCGCTTCCGCTGCCCACGTCATATAGCTCCAAAGGAGCATAGACGTGAGGGGGAGTGTTGGAGTATAATGTCCGGCCCTCTCCCTCAGATCGGTCTTTTGGTTGCATTGGCTAGAGCATGCACTTCTACAGTATATACAAGAATCAATCGTCTATCCATGCAATGCGAAACGAAAGCAGAACTTGGGGTCGTTGTACACGGCGAGTGGAATGTGGATGCGCTAATCAGGAGGACAGGCACTAGGCATAAACAGAGTTAAGCGCTAGCAGTAAGCATCGACCGACCCACTAAGACTATCAGACTATCAGACTAGGACGGTATCTGGGCAGCTCTAGATGGAATTCAGAAAATGGGTGGGGGAGGCTCACCGGGGGCGTAGAAGCTGAGCATCCGGTTGGCATGGTACCTGACAGGCAGAGAAATGGAGATCCGTGAGTGGTCAGAGATCCAGGAGAATGCGGTGACAAGTTCGGTCGGCCTATGGGTTGGTGGATCGGCACTCAGATCTCTCCGATGCTGCCGCACGCATTCGACCGGATCTCGAGCGAGCTAGCGCGACAAGGCGGCAAATGGAGCAGAGAGGGAGAGGGAGAGGGAGATGTACCACGGGATGGCGGGGTCGGAGGCGGAGGCGCGGCGGGAGGCGGGGAGCACGATGGTCTCCGGGACGCGCTTGTTGAGGTCGCGCAGGATCTCCACGAGCGGGCGCGTGATCCCCGACGGCGCGGCGTCCAGCGGCACCACGTAGTTGCCCGTGGAGGCCGCCGCGGCCAGCAACCCCCTCGCCCGCCGCTCCGGCGCCACGGCCACGCGCACCCGGCTACGGCGGTGGGGGTGCGGCGAGGAGGCGAGGGCCCGCGCGAGGGAGGCCGAGCAGGCGGCGGTGGCTTCCATGGGGATCGGAGCGGAGCGGAGGTGGGAGCAGAAGGTAGGTGGTGGACGGACTGAAGGTGGTGGGCGTCGGCTGTGACAGCGCCACTGCGGGCTACTTTGACTTAAAATATACTCCATCTACAGTTCTATACCAGGCCACTTCTTTTGGACAACTTAAAAAAAATAAGTAGCCTCTTCTCAGCTTAAAAAATAAATCGCTCTAAAAACTTGTTAAGGCTTCTAGATTAGTAATCCCATAACTAGTTTAGAAATCCGAATGAATGAGGGAGACGGCTTACGAAAAAAGCTAGGAAGAAGGAGGCTTATAATATGATGTTTAGCAGTTCAAACTGATTCCCCTAAAATAAAGCAGTTGAAACTGTTCAAAAGTATTAACATTCACAATGCCAAATCAATATTGTCATATTTGTTACGAAATGTGGTTTCATAGTATATACTCCCTCCGTTCCTAAATATAGGGTGTATTTTTTTTAAAAATGTCAAACTTTCCCTGACTTTGACCAAACTTATAGACAAAAATATCAAAGTCTAGAATACCAAACCATTGTCGCTAGATTCACCATGAACTATATTTATATATGTTTTATTTTGATACTTTTTATATTTATTTTATTTTTTGATATTTATTTTATATATTTGGTATTGGTATTGTTCAATACAAATTTTTATATTTTTATATATTTAGATTCACCATGAAAATTTTCATGCTTCAGCAACTGCCTTGCAGACAGACAGGACTGTATTTGTGCATGCTATGCTTTCTCATAACCAAATGGCCCTCCTTTATATTCAGAGGGATGAAGCACCCAAGCTTGCTCTAAAATGCATGGCCAACCATCCAAACTGGAGGAAAAAATAACTTATCTCTATTTCGGAGAAACAACATGAAGCCATGTCGTCCTGGTGTAGACAAACTGAAACGCAACCGACATCAAGTATTCAGGCAGATGGATCCAGGAAAGCAACCATTGGAGCAAAACAAAACCAAATTTGTGCTAATGGACGCCTATGCTATGTTAACAAAAGCAGTCGTACCACACAAAGCACCAGCACACCCAAATGCATCCAACTGTACTTCAACAAGCAAGTTTATCTTCCAAAGCTCTACTCGGAAAACTACTCCCTCCGTTCCTAAATATTTGTCTTTTTAAAGATTTCAAATGGACTACCACATACGGATGTATACAGACATATTTTAGAGTGTAGATTCACTCATTTTTGCTCCATATGTAGTCACTTGTTGAAATCTCTAGAAAGACAAATATTTAGGAACAGAGAGTATGAATGAAGATAACCTAAGGGCAAATAATCACCAAGAAAATGCCTGGCTCCTCTACAGGTGTAGGAGTGTAGGACCAAGAGGCGGATTTCACATATTTGGTCGCGGCCTCTAATATCATATATCTTCAACGAAAGCCAACTCAACTGGTAGATCCTTCAGAGCAGGGTCGAACCCTATAAGAATTTAATACAGCTATTTTTAGAACCTGTAACTCTACGTTCCGTCCATATAATAGATATACATGGCCTGGAAATAAAACAAATCTAGCACCCAGGAACTAGTAGGGAGAAATGAACTGTAAGAAGCAAGTTTAAGAAAGTGCTCCAGCAAGCAAGTTCAGCTCCTCAATCTCTGCCTGCCTAGACCCATCTCTTCCAAATAGGGAACATTACCGAGCTTGCTGTTTGGGGGAAACAGGCCGAGGCTGCTACAAGCAGGTATAAGTTCAACCACAACATGTTGTCATACTGTGTGCCTTACTAGGCTGGGTATAATTCTATCATCAGGTGTGTATAATGGATACTTGAGGAGCCCAGAAGGACTTCCTACAAGTCCATACAGTACAGTACGGCTGGATCCATGTCAAAATTCGTATAGCTGCAGTATTTGAACTGCAGAACTGGTCTGTTAAGCTCTCCTCGCTCGTAACGGTGTTCCTTCTGCAGTTCATGATTTATGTTAGATCATTAGAAAGGCTTGGTTTGGCTCTCTTCGCTCGGAAAAGCTTGGTTCGCGACTCTCTTCACTCACAAAGGCTTGGTTTGCCTTTCCGACGCGTTCTTCTAGCAGTTTGATCCTCTCAGCCAAACTGGGACAAGACATTTCTGAAAAAGATGGCTTGCGCTCCTGCACATATCTCGATATTGATCTCCAAAGAAGCAACTCCTCTTCATCACGATTCTTCTGCACAGAAAACAAGCAGGATGTGCTCATTAGAGATGAAGCATTTAAGATGGAATGTGTTTATGATTAAATACATGATAGCATTAATAATGGATATCAAATATATCGCGACATAAAGGTGCATAAGGTTAAATATAGCACAGGATATATAATCGTTAACGAATATATCTCGATATATAGAAGGTGGTGACGAATATATTTAACATGTCATAAAATGGTTATCGAATATATCGCAACATATAGAAGGTGCTGAAGATTAGATGTAACATAGGATATAATAGTTATTGAATATATCACGACATATGAAGGTGTTGAAGATTATATCTGACATCTATAACGGGTTATCCAATCAACGCATTAGTGGAAATAATTTGCCGTTAAATATAGCACAGGAAATATAATGGTTCTTGAATATATTGTGACGATTAACTATAGCACAGGATACATAATGGTTATCGAATATATCGTGTCATCGCGATATACAGAAGGTGCTGAAGACTATATTAACATATCATACAATGGTTACTGAATATATCACGACATAAAGAAGGTGCTGAAAATTATATGTAACATCTGAAATAGCAGTTCTCGAATATATCGCGACATACGAAGGTGTTGAAAGATTATATCTGACATCTATAACGGCAATCGAATCTACGCAATAGTGGAAATAATTTGCCAGATCAGTTATTAAATCCTTCTGACCACATACATCAGTTAGCTCTCTTTTCAGTAGTGATAAATTGATTGCATGAGAAATCGACAGAACATACCGATCCCGCCAAATCACACTCCACCTCGCTCTCTTGCTCCTTCCTATTGCGCACAACCTTGTCAACGATGTAAGACAGTACGCCATCGAGCGGGAACGCCTCCTGCAGGTCAAATGCAAGGATCACACCAATCGCTTCGCGATAACTTCCCCTGTTCAGCATATCAGCAACAACATCTGCAACAGAAGAAAAGTCTTGGTTAGTCAGGAGGAAGCAGGGATAATTAGGCCGTGCCGAATTGCTGATAATGCAAAAGGTGTGGTAGGGTGCCCTCACCGCGCAGCTTCTTCATGAAGGGCTGGGAGCATCTGAGCACGTCGACGCAGGTGAAGCAGCCACCGGCAAGCAGCAGCTGGTAGAGCTCCTGCAGAGGGAACTCGGCGGGCGCGCCGAAGGCGGCCATGAGGAGGATGAGGCCGCGGGCGTCCCTGGCGCTGGCGTCGGCGACCCGGCCCTTCTCCCGCACGATCCGGCTGCGCGAGGAGAGCGCGGACACGCGCGCCTCCGCCCGCACCTCGGCCTCCCCCTCCCCCTCCGGCCGGCGGGGGCAGCCCGCGCGCACGTAGAGCTCCAGGAGGAGCACGCAGGCGGTCTCGGCGTTCTCGCTCTCGGCGCAGATGTAGCTGCGGCTGACGGCGCGGATGACGAGCACGGCGGGGTCCGTGGCGCGGCGCAGCGCGGCCGAGCCCACGCGGCGCAGCCAGGCGCGGTCCCGCAGGTGGGCGGCGACGAAGCCGCGCAGCGACCGCGACCCCATCTGCTCGCAGATGCCCCCCAGCGTCTCCGCCTCCTGCTCGTTGGCCCTGCGCTCGCGGCCGGGGGCGGGCTTGGGTGCGGGCTTGGGCGCGCGAACGGGAACGACCTCGGCCGGGAGGACGGGTTTAGGCTCGGGGTCGGCAGGGGACTGTGCTCGCGGCGCTCGACCACGGGGTCGGGTTTAGGGCTCGATTCATCCCGCTGGGGGAGGGGATCTTCTCCGGCATCAGGCACGGGACTCTGCTCGCGGCGGTCGGCCACGGGGTCGGGTAATCTAAGGACGGGGTTCCACTGGCCGAGGAGGGCCCCGAGCTGTCCCACGGGGCTGGGCTTGGGGTCGGGGCCGGCATCGTCGTCGGCGAGCGGGGGCAGAGCGGCGGCGATGGAGTTGGCGTCGAGGTGGAATTCGCGCCACTCGTCGAGGAACTCGACGAGCACCTCGTTGAAGGAGGCGAGGCCCTCGACGGAGCTCGCAATGGCGGCGAGAGACGCATAGGCCGCGGCGGCGCTGGTGGGAGGAACGGCGGGAGGCGGCGGCGGCGACGGCATGGGGGCGAGACGGAGAGGAGTTGCCGGTCGGGCAGGCTGGGATCGCTTCACTGCCAGACAAGGAACGCGTGTCCTAGCAATCCTTATCATGTAATAAATCCTTTCTTAAACCCGTGTTCGCTTTTTAGGTAAAAACTTATACTTTTTCTTCAAAAATACTTGTCGAAGAAATGGGTGTATCTAGACATATTTTAGTTGTGAATGCATTTATTTTTATATATTTTTGTGACAAGTAATTTCGGACGGATGACCGGAGTATTACTCAACCATCAACCATGCAATATTTCTTACATGATTCAGTAACTTCTGGGAGGCTTGAGCCTAACTAGACAACAGTTCTACTTATAATTCTGACAAACTTAGCTAAAAAATCACTGACTGAATTCTGATCACGGATGGTATGAGTAACACGAGTCATACGAAGGGACTTCAGAAGCTTTATCTCTGCCATCAAAGACGCATAGACATATGTTATTGTCACATAAAATGTTCATCGCTGAAAGTGAATCCATCTCAACAAGAATGCGAAGATTCGTAGGCTGGATAGCAAGGGACAATCCCTCCATGCACGCACTTAGTTCTGCTTCAAGGCCATCTATGAAGTTAAATAATTCCCTTTAGGAAGAGTAAATGTTTGTGCCATTTGTATGGCGAAGAACCATGCCAGCTCATGTTTTTCCATCATCCCATACCTCACCGAAGACTTTGGTATTCTATGTGAACTCTTGGCTAGCGGGGCATATGATATTACTGTTTTGCCTTTTACTGGATCACAAATGGAATTTTGAGCGATAGCAATCATCGAACCCAAGTAGCTGCAATGGAATCAACGAGACATAGGCATCTGTGCTGGGGCTTTCTCATGTACTAAATCATTTCGGTTATGCCAACTCCTCCAGAAATTGAACAACACCATGGCCCGTTTCAACTGTCCCAGTGGGTGCAAGACCTCCAACAATCACTCAACTCCAATATAGGATATCTCCTTAGTTTCGGCAAGGGACAAATCTCACTCATGCACTCCCAAAGTTGGACGGCAGGGGGCAACGGGGCATATGATATTACTGCTTTGCCTTTTATTGGAGCACAAATGAAACCTTGGGAGATAGCAATCACTGGATTCAAGTAGCTACATAGGAATCGGCAGGACTTGGTGTTGGGGCTTTCTCATGTACTACTTCACTACAATTATACCAGCTCCTCCAGAAAGTGAACAACACCATGGCCCGTTCCAACTCTCCAAGTGGGTGCAAGACCTCTAGCAACCACTCAACTCAAACATAGTATATCTCCCTTAGTTTTGGCCCGTGCACTCCCAAAGTTGGACCGCGCACTAGTAGAAACAGGGCCTAATGTTCAACTCATTAGTCCCGGTTTGTAACTGAACCGGCACTAATGTGACCATTAGTGCCGGTTTCAATGGCTAGGCGGCGGTGCTCATTAGTCCCGATTCATGGTGAACTGGCACGAACCGGGACTAAAGAGGTGGTGGCAGGCTGCGGCCCCACCAACACCTTTAGTCCCGGTTCGTGGCACGAACCGGGACTAGAGATGCACCTTTAGTCCCGGTTTGTATAACCAACCGGGACTAAAGATCATCCTATATAAACCCTTCATTGAGCCCAAGCTCTATGTTCTTCCCCTTTCCTCTCCTCTTTGTTTTCTTCCTCTCCTCTCGAGCTCATCCTCCATTTTTCACAAAATTTGTCAAGATTTGAAGGCACCCCATCCATCCAAGTGATCACAAAGGTTAGCAAGTTTGTCCTTTCATCTCTCATTGCTAGCTTAGCTCTTGCAACGCTCTATAAATATAGTGATTTGTGGATTTTAGTAATTTGGGAGGAATTATATGTGGTATTTTATTTGATTTATATGCAATTTGAGCTCAAAATAACTCTTAGTTTGCATATGTAGGTGTGGTTTACTTAGTGTCTTCCCATCTCCGTCCTAACCACCGTCGATCGCCCGCACCGTCCCGTCGTCGGCACCACATTGTGGTGAGCCTCTTGTTCTTATCTTTTTTATTTAAAAAAATCATGTTTGTGTGATTTAGATATATAGTTACTTGTATAATTATCTTAACCGTACGCTGTTCGTTATCCATAGTGCCATGGTTTTGATATCCGTCCCCATCGGCCCTCGTCCGGTTTATGATTCAGATGTGGTATATTCTCTTTTATAACTATTTGTTGCATTTCGTGTTTATGAAAAATTATGCGCATCAAGTTGACATAGATATTTTTATCTAGGAGGTATGTGAACCGGAAATCCCAACCGACCCTATTGTCAAGATTAAATTTAGTTGAAAATGAAAATGAGTATTTGAAAGAAAAATTGAAAAGAATTGAGGAGGAGAAGACGGAATTGGAGTTGCATGTTGCCGATGTCGTCGATGATCACAAGATCAAGACGGAGAAAATGCGCTTGAAGATTAGAAAGATTAGAAAATATGCCATTTTGATAGTGAGGCTTGGTATCATTATGTTGTTGGATCAATTGTTACCTTAGTTGCGATCCTGATCGCATTTGTTGTTGCATTTAAATGCTTTAGCTGGAGAGTTTGTATGTGTTGGAAATATGCCCTAGAGGCAATAATAAAATAGTTATTATTGTATTTCCTTGTTCATGATAATTGTTTATTGTTCATGTTATAATTGTATTAACTGAAAACCGTAATACATGTGTGAATACATAGACCACAACATGTCCCTAGTGAGCCTCTAGTTGACTATCTCGTTGATCAATAGATGGTTATGGTTTCCTGACCATGGATATTGGATGTCGTTGATAACGGGATCACATCATTAGGAGAATGATGTGATGGACAAGACCCAGTCCTAAGCATAGCACAAGATCGTGTAGTTCGTTTGCTAAGAGCTTTTCTAATGTTAAGTATCATTTCCTTAGACCATGAGATTGTGCAACTCTCGGATACCGTAGGAATGCTTTGGGTGTACCAAACGTCACAACGTAACTGGGTGGCTATAAAGGTGCACTACAGGTATCTCCGAAAGTGTATGTTGGGTTGGCACGAATCGAGACTGGGATTTGTCACTCCATATGACGGAGAGGTATCTCTGGGCCTACTCGGTAATGCATCATCATAATGAGCTCAATGTGACTAATGAGTTAGACACGGGATCATGCATTACAGAACGAGTAAAGAGACTTGCCGGTAACGAGATTGAACAAGGTATAGGGATACAGACGATCGAATCTCGGGCAAGTAACATACCGATGGACAAAGGGAATTGTATACGGGATTGATTGAATCCCCGACATCGTGGTTCATCCGATGAGATCATCGTGGAACATGTGGGAGCCAATATGGGTATCCAGATCCCGCTATTGGTTATTGGCCGGAGAGGTATCTCGGTCATGTCTGCATGGTTCCCGAACCCGTAGGGTCTACACACTTAAGGTTCGGTGACGCTAGAGTTGTTATAGGAAATAGTATGTGGTTACCGAAGGTTGTTCGGAGTCTCGGATGAGATCCCAGACGTGACGAGAAACTCCAGAATGATCCGGAGGTGAAGATCGGTATATTGGACGAAGGGTATTGGAGTCCGGAATTATTCCGGGGGTACTGGGTGACGACCAGCGTGTCCGAAAGGGGTTTCGGAGGCCCCGACAAGCGTTGGGGCCTTATGGGCCAAGGGGAGGGGGCACATCAGCCCACTAAGGGGCTGAGCGCCCCTCCCACCCCATCTCATGTAACCTGGAGAGGTTGGGGCTCCTCCCCTAGGGCAGCCACCCCTCCCGGCTTGGGGAGGGGGGGAGTTTCCTAGGGGGTGGGGGCGCCCAAACCCATCTAGGGTTTCCCCTGGCCGCCGCCCCCTCCTCTAGATGGGATCTAGAGGGGCCGGCCCCCTCTCCCCTTCCTCCTATATATAGTGAGGGGGTGGGAGGGCAGCCACAACCCCTTCCCTTGGCACAGCCCCTCCCTCCTCCAACTCTTCCTCCTCCTCCTCCGTAGTGCTCGGCGAAGCCCTGCAGGAATACC